CCGCTCTTGATGCTTATGTCATCTTCACAAACTTTCCATAAATAATTGATTTGATTTCCACAGATTTGTATCAAGAAAGGCTTTTCTGTATTGGGCTTAGGCCCATAAAATTTTGGGTAGAAGGCCCAAATAATATCAACGTTGGTAGCCTAACATTGGACCATCAACGTTTTTTTTCCTCATAGAGGATTAGAAAAATGATACCCAATATATATATACACAATTCACTTCTACTCTCCATTTAATATTGAAATTTCGGTATTTCGTATTATAAATATACTATGTAAAATGGTCAAAATGATGTAGTTTTATTTTTTAATTAATTTAATCGGTCAAAACGATATATTTTTGGTATTTTTATGAATTATATATATTAAATTGTTAAAATATAAAATTTCAGTAGTTATATGGGGTTTAAAAGTAAAGTTATTGGGTGTGAGAATATATATAAAGATTTGGGTATTTTTATGTTTCCACTATTTTTTCCGACCTAAAATAATCTATTTGCTGTTTATATACACACACCACATATATATATATATATATATGCTGACACATTTTGTACTGTGAATATTAACATCTAATTCCAATGAAATTGAAATAACATTTAGAATTTATTGCATAACTTTTAATATTGATGGACACCAAAACAATCCTGTGTGCGGTGTATGTGATTTACATTCATGATGGTTCAAAAATATTTGTGAAGTTATTAATTAAGGTATATATTATGCATGGTTCTTTTTTATATTAGTGATTGCACAGGTGGGATTTGAACCCGATGTGGGGAGAACACTTTATACTTCCATACCACCGGACCATATATTGCTTTTGATTAGGTCGATCGATGAATGAATCAACATTCAACAAGGATCTGTAATATTTTATGATGCAAAATTTAAAAATAACTTCAAAGCCCAAAATGCTAGATGCTTAATATATCCTTACAATATCATGTTTTCAAAAAAATTTCTCATTTTTCTATATGAAAAAGATAAACATATTTACGTTTCCATTTCATTTTCCTAACAACAGAATAGAAAATATTAAATAATTTTCATATAAAAAAAAAATATTAAATAATTTTGGATTGGATTTATTTTCAAACCGAATTCCAAACAACGCCATCGATTTACACAAAAGAAATCGAAACCAAACAAAAGGTGAAAACTCGGTTTGGTTTCAATTCAATTCGAATTATATATTTTGAAAACTGAAAATCCTAACAGAAGTCCAACCGAAAATCGGAAAACTCGATCCGGTTTTAGTTTGGTTCTATTCGATACATACATATATATATATATATAAAGCCTAACTAAATATATGAACAAAGGGAAAGGGAGTGTGTAGCAGTAGGTTAAGTGACAAGGAGAAGTGGTGGTGGTCACGTGACAGTAAGTGTTTGTAACCTTTGTGGAGACAAAGAACATTGTCTTTTCTATCGGCCGCTTCATATGGTCCTCTCTTTGAAAGCACACATACCCCTACTGCCCTTTTCTTCGATGCATATTCACCCCCTATTCATCACCCACCAACCCTCCGAAACAATTAATTTTTTTTAATTAATAGAAATAACTTTAGAGCCCTAATCAATTATCAGCATCATTCATCATAAAAAATTCAAGTAAGCATTTATTTATGTAGATTATATAACAAAGTTTGTTGTTATTATTGATAATTGAATGAATATATATATATATATAGTAGGGGTGAGCACAAGTAGGATAATCGGGAAAATGGAGAGATTTGGATTTGGATCCGGGAGACTCGGGTATTTAACTATAAGATTTGTATCCGGAATTTGGTATTTATGAGTATCCGGGGAACAGGTATCCAGAATAATGGTCGGATATTCGCGGGTATCCGGATCCGGATTTATTTAAGAAAAACAACAATATTCATATATAAAATTTTTAAAAAATTAAGATATATTTATAAAAATTGATGAATTATGATAAAATATATGAGACAAAAGAGATAATAAGAGATAAATAATAATAAATTTAATTTTTTTGAATTAATATAAAAAAATATGAAATTATTTAATCTAAAATAATTATATTTTATAAAAATGTTATATAAATATAAGATATAATTATTTATAATCATAATAGTATCGGATACCCGCGGGTATCCGGTTTTAAAAAATTTATTATCCGGATTTAGATTCGGATTAACC